CCTGGTCGGCCTGAAGCAGACCCCCTCGAGAAGAGGGCTGAGAATGAGCCTTGGTTGGCCCGGAAAAGTACCAGGCCACCCAGATATGTAAACAACCTACGCTACCCGGCCCGGGCCGACCCGGTACAGATGGGAATGGCCCAAAGGAGGCACATAAGGGGAACCTAAAGGGGGAGCTGGAGAGCACATGAAGGGTACGCAGGACGCAGACCATGACAGCTGTTCCGTAAGCGAGACAGGATGTAACTCTGGGTCTAACACGGAAGAATAAATGGATGTGAGCAAGCAGGAATCTGAGAACCAAGGAAATACACTAGATAATGGGAAATGGAACAATCTTACGGTGCTGGACTGGGAATGGGCTGGAGGGGGAGGCAGGTCAGGTGTGGTCTTTGGATGGGTCAGGCAGAGGCGGGTGGTCGGTAGAGGAGTGTGGGGTTTGGTAAATTGAGTGCTTTAAGAGCTCTCTATATATATTACCTCTACTTATGACCAATAAGCTGTGATGCTCTGAATATAGAATATGACCCTGCCTGGTCTTTATTGTGCTTTAATCAGCAGATTCTAGGATTCTTTATTCATTTGGGGATTGTACACACTTCGTTTTGATTCAGAAAAGAGTCAGATTTATAAAAGTAAGAATTTATTTTACAAACAATTAAAACATGACAAGTTAACTAACATTTACTGTGATGGATGGAACTAAATGTGATGCATGAACCTATGTGTGAATGAGGTGTTAGTCAGAACTTCCGTATCTAAGAGAGGCGAGTTCTGGATGAAAAAGAATTTGGTTTGCATTAAGCTATGAGGTTGATTGTTATCAAAACACATCCAGGCGCAATCTCACTGTGTTCTACGTGCCCAGGTGGAGATGTCCTTTTCGGATCCGAGATGTCGGGGGGGTCGGAGACCCCAAGTACCGAAGTCCGTAGATTAACTTGCAGTACGACCAGGTCAGTCCATAGTCATCTCCAGGTAACAACAGTTAGAACTAGTTTGCGTCTCAGGAATTACTCTTAAGGAGTTGAACAAATCGGCTTGTTCTGCAGGAACTGTTTTGTTGTATCAGCTTCGCAGGTGCAAAAAGGTTTTGACGACGTGTCAAAAGCTTTGGTGGTCAAAGAGGATTTTGCTTCAGGTGGCCGGCCTGAAGCTTCTCTAGCACTGAAGAATCACCAGAGTGATCTGGTTTTAATGTTCTCATGTTATGATTATGTAGCCAACCAGAGGTTGACAAGTTTGAGGAAGTTACCAGGAATCTCAGAAACACGCCTTCTTTGACCCGGAGGCTCATATCTGGGGCAAAGGCTAATTATGTTTCATGGACTTAACTTTACCTTACTTTGTTCTTGTGTGAGTGCAAATGTTATGACCTTGTCAAGTAAACATGCTGAAGCATATATCATTGAGCACAGATTAATGAATATTTCATTATTTTATGATTATTATAAGTAGCAATAAACAAACGTTGATTTAATGATTATCTAGCTTGTAAATTTTAGAAGTTCATATTTAATTTTAAAAATCTTCCTTCTTCTGTTCTTCTGTGAGGCAAGGAGTCTTAGATAAGAAGGGTGCTCTGTGAGGGACTTTGGAAGGAGAGAATGTTATCGTTATGATTTCATTATCTCTGTCAGTGCTGCAGGCTCTGAGCTCCAGCCAGTGTTGCCAACTGTTTTTGACTGAAAGTAGCTGAAGTTCCTCCCAAAAGTCACTAGATGTCGCCAGATGATGTCACGTGCTAATTTACATATTGATGACGTCATCACGCCACATTAGCGTTGGTTTCCCCCATAGCATCTAATATATATATATATATATATATATATAATAGGACTAAAAGGGAGGAAAATAAAAACTATGTTATGTTAAAGTTATTAGTTAATATGATTAAAATGGCCCAAATTGCTTTGATATGTACAATAAATTCCAAAAGTATCAATAAAGTGACATTAAGACAGATATGGTGTGGTGATCCAAACAGTTCTGTTGTAGGGTATAACTCAGACCTCCTGCTCTCCTCATTATCACAGACATTTTCCTAAAAAGCTGTTTTTTTACACCTCATAGTTTCTCAACTTCTCTGTTGTGTATTCTCTCCATCGTGATAATAACGGCGCACTGAGCAAAAGGGAGCGGGTGTCTCATAGTATAACCATCCCTGTGTCACTGAAGGAAATTCAGATGAGCCACAGAGCTGCGTGTGTAAACGGGACGGTAGTTGAAACTCCCGATGACTTTATTTGCCAAATGCAGGAAAAGCCAAAGTGTCTGACGGCTGCAGAACCAGAGATGGCAGGTTGACGCCCGCGCCGTCTCTAGTAGAAGCGTGAGCCTGCAGCAATATGAAAGCAGCAGACGTAAATCGGCGGTCTCCAGCTCTGCAGCTGTACTCTGTCTTCAGCGAATCAGACCGGCCGAAAACGGTTTATGATTGGTCAGTCCTCGTGCACATGCGCAGATTATCGTTCTCTTTCCTTACTCCCGGAAGAACGGTTCGGAGTGCAAATGGTTTCTTTGTTGCTTATCTGTAGGGAATATCTACATGAAAGTTCTACAGAAAGTAGCAACGGGTCCTGAGAAATGTCGCTGAGTTTGTCGCTAGGCGCTTTTTGGAAAAAAAGTCATTGAGGGGGGTCAAAAAGTCATTAGGAACAGTGACAAAGTCGCTGAGTTGGCAACACTGGCTCCAGCTGGTGTGAGGAAGGCAGGCTGATCTAAAGGGACACAGAAAACACTGCAAAGGAGGTTCCTCGTACGCCCTGACCATGTAACTAAAGAAATCCAACTGAACATGAGCAGGGAGCTCCACCATGAAGTGGAATATATCAGAAGTAATCAGCAGCATAGCGGACCCACGAGCGTTAAACCCCAGATGCCGTTAAACAGCCACCAATGCCGCCCCACACAGAGAGTCAAACACCTTCGACTCAGAAACCTGGTTTGAAATGCCGTACACCACACCCTTAACCATACAACCAGACCTCGACTCGGACAGCACCACGTCCACCCTCAGAAATTTCTCAAGCCGCAGGGTTTTGAGGCACTGGGTCTTAGTTCAGCACACCACCATCAACAGCCCATTGAACACCATGGTAGCGTTTAACACCTCCCCCAACACAGCACTCAGCTCCCTACAATGCTTCAACAAGTTAAAGGTAGTAAAACGCGCACCACCTACCACCCTGATACAGACCACAAAGCCGCCCTCCTTCAGCCTCTGTTGCTTCAGCTGCGCATCTGTCACAATCTGATGTATCACTGCTGCTCCCACGATCCCACATTGCAGCCACTACCGACTGAACGGCCGCTCAAGCCCTACTCATCCCCTTCCTCCCCATTCTCTGCAACAAGCATGACCGAAGCGAAGCCAGGCTGTAGGCCGTCGGCCAACCACCCGAACAACCCTTTGGAGCCAATGCAAACCGAACTGAACAGTCACCGCCAACCAGACACAACGCTCAGGCCCGACAGCTGTCCCCAGCCTCAGATGTTCACACACAGAACAATAAGCTAAACGACCCATGACACGGATCCGGTCTCTGTCTTTCTTTTAGTCGAAGTCCCTTTCCAGTGGCATCTCCTCTCTTTTATGCTGCACTAGGGCTGATGAGCCAATAGAGTCCAGGTGTGGAAGCAGAAGGGAGGAGGGAAGGTCTCCCTTCTGCTTCCACACCTGGTATACCCCCACCGAATCGCACCCTGGCGCTATATAGATAAAATGAATTGAATTCAACTGATTGGCTAGATAGAGGAGTCACTGTTTTTTCCAGAGTTTTCTGTCTTGTTTATGTTCAGAGTCTGAGAAAATGCCAGGAACAGAAAGTTTAAATTCCATCAGTTGTCTCCTCTGCATTTGACCCAACATGGGGAGCAGTGAGCTGTAGACACGGCAGTGCTCAGGAACTGACATCACCATCATGTCCATCGTTGTTTTGTTTTGTGTCACATATGGATCACCATGTGCTACTTTTGTGCTAGGTACAGGTCACACCCTGTGCACATGCACACTTAATTATCTTAAAGAGAAAATTCACTTTATTAACATTGTTTGCACATTTACTGAGATGAAATTAAGAGCCCATTTTAGAAGCTGCAAACATTTGGTTTTCCTGAAGGCTGTAGGAGTCCCATATTCAGAGGAAGCAACTGGTCTTGAGCGCATGGGCCGATTAATCTTCTGCGTGTGTGGGTGTGTGAACCACTGCCTTTGCCTCTCACTGCACTCACAATCCTCCTAAACCAGAGACATTACTACCTTATTTGGAGTTTTGCTCTGCTGCACATTCCTGCAAAAACCCAGCAGGAGCGCTTCTCTTCTCCTTTCCCTCTGATACCACTCACAGCATGCCACGAACTTCTGTATTCAGGTTTTCATTAACTGAAATCAATCCTGCTATTATTATTATTATTATTATTATTATTATTATTATTATTATTATTGTAGTAGTTGTTGGTATTGTTATTATTATTATTATTAATACTACTATAACTATTGCCTATTTGGGAGCAATAAGGGTTGTTATTGTTGGCAATATTGGGGGAACCTCAATACATGACATTTTACTTTTTAAAGAAGCATCCCCAAATCTTATAGATTATTTTCTAATTTAGTACAAATGTTTTTCATTTGCATTCAGTTCATAAGATCCAGGGCAGAGGTCCCATACTCTTGTCCTCAAATGACACAATCCAGCATGTATTTGTTGTTTCCCTGATCAAACACACTTCATTTAGTAGCTGGATAAGCTGTTCAGCCTGTATTTCATCTGCTGATGAATAACTCATGCTGAGGCAAGTTTAAGGAGGGAAACAACTCAATTGTGCTGGATTGCGGCCGTCGAGGACAGAAGTTTGAGACCTGCTTATTAAAGGTTTACTGATTTCTTCTGGGTTTTACTTTTTTAGTCACATTTCTGATTCTGACTCTGAATTTTGAAAAGTGAATGTATTAACACATTTTTCTCAGCACTGTGAATAAACATGTTTCTTTGTAGGAGTGAAGAACGTGTTTCAGACAAAGGACATGGAGTATGTTAATGTTTCCCTGCCATGGATGCCCAATCGCTACACTATGGTACCTCAGCTGGTGGAGAAACAACTCCAGACTGAACAGGTGCAACCTTTTTCTTCATTTCTCAGATCATTTTAATAATATATAATCCCAAAAGTAGAGAAAGAACAATTTCTAACAAACAGCACACAGTGGAACAGTGCACTAAACCCAGAGTTGGATGAGGTTCACACCAACACTCATAGATAAACAACAGTTACAGCCTGAACACATAACATATTTATGCCCAAAATGAAAATTTCAAATGTTTTTTGTGTTGCAAAACTGAATTTAACCCTAACCTCTACACCATCATCCTTCCTTCCTGAGTGTTAGATGACTTTATTAATCCCACAGTGGGGAAATTCAATTGCTACAGCAGCACATATACTTAAAGCAGTTAACTGTTATAGAAACCTTCAACTACTATAAACAATGAATAAAAAGGAAACTTGTTTCCAGAAATATGCAGCATAAAGGACACAGATTTAGCATTGGAGAAGGCTGTGGATTGCAAAGGTTAAGACACTGTCCACAGACTGCTTCATCAGTGTGCCACCCCTGGAAGAACTAATATCCGCGATAAACATCTGTTTCTGAATGTCCATATTGCTGGATATGCTGAGTTTTAGGGCGAAATCCTGGGGAATTTCGTCTAGAAATGCAATTACCTAACCGTGCGCGCTCCCGCGGACGGCAATCAGTTTCTGGCAGACGATCACTTTTGGGCACAACACCGGCTGCTGTCACCTGTTGTGAACAGCGCTCTGCTGTCTGAGGGTAGGCCCCGCCCACAACGCCGCGGCTGCTGCGGTGTTTTTTTTTACTGTGGGAAACGGGTAATAATGGCTCTTTGATGGGAACAGGTTGCCGACCCCTGGTTTAGCGTGACGTCTCATATATATATATATATATATATATATATATAGCCATGCCCTGATGTGGGGCTGGGGGGTGCATCAACATGGTCGGGACATAGAAGGGGGTGCGCGGCTAAATAAGTTTGGGAACCACTGTCCTAGAGCTTCACCGTCTACTTTCTATTAGATGCTAATGCAAGGGATTGGTGTAGGAGACTATTACATGTTCAGCCTGCACGAGATACTCAGAGTGACTGATTATCAGAAATATTCATTAAAAAATGTTTCTTCATTGATTCACACCTTTAATTATATTTGCCTAATAGCCTTTTTTGAGTTTCTGTAAAAAGACAAAAAGGTTTAAACTGTTGACAGCTGGTCAGGGTTAGCACTAAAGGATGGAGACACCTTAATGAATAAAGATGCTAAATTCCTACTAGTGCAGTTGTTATTATGAATATTACTTATTAATTAAATGTAATTTCTACTTGTTCATATCTTTTCAGATTTAATCAGTAAGTATATTATTTGGACAAGGATAAATTATATTATTGCTATGTAGCCTTCAAGAATTACAGAGGGTGTACCAGCTGCAAGTGACTCATTCAGGATCACAGTGCACATAACATATATGTATCATTCAATTTAAAGGTACGTAAGTAACATAATGTAATGATTTGAAGGTGGTTACTTTTAATAGGTTGTCACTAGAATATAACGTAATTTCCGGACTATAGAGCGCACCTCAATATAAGCCGCACCATCAAAAAAAGGTTTTCTACACACACACGCCGCACTCAAATACAAGCCGCGGCGCAGCAGCCACATGCAGGTCTCTGGCGCACAGCGCATGTACGGCCATGACATAAGATAATTAGACAGAAAGACGCTACACGGAGGTTTTTTCTTGTTGTTTTAATTCAACAAAACAAATTTTAAACACGGGTGAACGTGCCTGCAAGTTTAGAAAAGACAACAGCACGGATAGCATTCCTATTTCTGGATGGTTATAAATAAAAACAGCACTGACACGTTATTACCGGTCATTTGCATGCATGTTTAGAAGGAAAGAACAGCGCTGACACAGCATTAATAAGCCCTGGATGATTAGAAAATAAAAACTGCACACAAAGCATGCCTGGTTAGTAAATAAAACACACTTGCCTACCAGAAGAAGTAATTCGCTCTCATCTTCCTCTTGCGCACTAAATCCATTAAAGTCCTCTTCTTCAGTGTCGGAGTTGAACAGCCTCAGAAGAGCTTCGTCACATACCTTTTCTGTGGCAATAGTGTCGCTCTCCGTGTTGCTGTCATCATCCCCGGGTGAAGCTGGCTTGAATGAGTTCTTCCCGCTGCCGTCTCCAGCGCCGAACCATGGATTCATTCATGCCAAGCTTACGTGCGGCAGCACTGTTTCCCTCCTTTACTGCCAGATCGATGGCCTTCAACTTAAATGCGGCACCATATGAACTCGTACGTGTAGTTACCATGATGAGGGGGTATGGATTTGAAAAAGATTCTTCGTCGTGCCGGCTGCTTGCATGTGCTAAATTAAAATGAGCACTTTTTTCGATTTCCACGTTTGACTTCCACCTGTTTCACTTTCTGCTAAAGCGCCCCCTGCAGGTGAAGGAAAATCTTCAGTAAAGCTGCACCTCATTATAAGCCGCATGGTTCAAAGCGTGGGAAAAAAGTAGCGGCTTATATTCCGGAAAATATGGTAAACAAATTCAATAAAATGTAATATTCCTTAAAATATGGATTATCAATATTATTGAGCCTTCAATATTTGATTTGATGATGAAACTGGGTACTTTGGGTACACCAGGAAAACATCACATTACAATAATTTGACACTGAGACAAAAATATAGTTTATAAAAATCAACGTATTACTATATTAATGATGATGAAAGACTATGAATGGTGATTCAAAGTGATATCAAATGAGACCATGAATGAACTCTGATGAAACATGACCTTGTCTGGGTTTATAAAATAAATGAGGCTGTTTGTTGGAAGTAATTTAACAAGTTATCAAATTTATATCAACCACTCTGAGTTTAATCTACACACCATGGATCGTAGAAGCTCTTGGCAATCCAGCCTGCAGGCGAAGCCGTCTCACAGAGCGAGTGAGTGAACTTCTGATGTATTTGAAGGTCATAGGCCCCCTCAGCATATGCCCGACTGGTCAAAAGATACTTCTCAGGTGGCTTCTGGCGTACGGTTTCATGTCTGTTGAGTGGGTGGTGGGTTGAGCAAATAATAATTGTTGATTCAAAAAGGGTGGTTCATACACCGCAAAAAATATTCCACTGAAAAATCTGGTTTGATTTCCCATTGGATGGTTATTTAATATGAGCTGTGAACTTTGGATGAACTCTGAGCTCTGGCTGGAACTGGGTAAATTAGGAAGTGAGTTCACTTTTAATGAAATGGTTGTTTATATACTTTGACCAACCAGATCTGAGAAATTTGTATAGGCGTATACCAAGCTGCTCTGGGGCACCCTGACAGAGGCGCTGGTTGTTGGAAGTGATGACTAATGAGCAAAGATTTGATGGTGTTTTACCGTAGATTGTTTTTTTATGTAGCGTTAATATATATTAAATGACCAATAAGATGTGATATTCCATATAAATACGAAATATCAATCTGATTGGTCTTTAAATGTTTCTTTGACTTATTCATGAAACATACACACTTCATATTAATTCAGACAGAGTTATGAATATAGTTATAAAAAGGATTTTAATTATATTTCCATAAACTAAATGATTGTACACGACAAATTATGAATGAAATGATGGAATACGAAAAACAGATGATGAATGAAGTGATTGAATTGAAGCTGGATGTTTTAGCAAAATCTTTTGTGGAGTCTGGGTTGTAAAATCAATTTGGCTGTCTAGTTTGATAAGCTAGAGATTTATTTATAAAAACCAACGCAATTTGTACGCATCGACGCACCCTTGTGTGAAGATCCCCAAGCGATCCAGGGAGTCAGGAGGTCGAGATCCACACTGTCGATGGAGTGGACCTATTGTACCGGAGCTCGTAGCCAGCTCAGAATACGACCCTTCTAGTCTGAGTTATCTTCAGGTAACAGCAAGAAGCTGGAGTATCTATTTTGCATCTAAGGCTCTTCGGTGGCTTTGAAATGCAAGTGGTGCTCGCTGCAGAACCACAAAGGCGGAGCTGCACCAGAAGGTGGAGCTGCACCAGAGTCAGCCCCGCCCATTCCATTAGAGTCAGTCCAATTCCTTCCAGTTGTCAGACTTGATAGCATTCTGGAACCAAAGAGGGTGTTATAGCTAAAAAATGCAAGATTGAGGACGGAGTTGAGTTAATTGAACAGTTTTTGTAAAGGTTCCATATAATTAAAAATCTAACTTTTGGAACTTTTAATCATGTTATATTGTCATTTCCTCATAAGAAACATGCCAAAGCCATTTTTAGCCTCATTCATGCATTTTCCTCCCATCTCAGCTTCAATTTGGTCTCCTCCCCCGAAGCGGGTCTGGTCTTGGTTCTCAAATCTGGATATTCTGTGAATTTTCTGACAAATTATTTCTGAAATGACTTCTACTGAGACACCGCCAATAAACCATACAACCCATCTCAGAGACACACTGAGAAGCACAATTACATGTAACGCCACATGATTTATAACAGATGTGGTGGTGTAGTGGTTATGGAGTCAGGTTGACATGCAGTTTTGCGCGGGTTCGCCTCCCAGTAGTGTAAGTTTTAGGTAGTTTACAACCTCTTTTCTTCATTTCTAGCTACACTTGCCAGTACTATGTTTACAACAATTTACTGGTATACCGTTTAACATATAATGACTAATGTGTTTTATTTATTTATTCGTTTATTTAGCCAGTGTGAGTCCATTTGTCAGAATCAGAATCAGAATCAGATTAGGCTTATTGCCATTGTCAGTGAACAAACAATTCACAAACTAGGAACTTGCTTCAGACTGTAGAAGGTGCTATATCAAATACAGGGCAAGCATCACCTCTGGCCCAGCAAGGAGTTGGTGCTAGGTTATTCACCAGTTTGGAATCAAAAAATGAGTGCATAAATGTCAGAAACCAAGCTGCGTCAGGTTCTGGCACAGACAGTATAATAGAACAAGCTTGGTCCAAAGATTCTATGAGATCTCAGATTGGCTCTCCTGATGATAGGATTTGTTATCTGTTGTTAAACATCCACAGGAGGCTGCCCTACGTCATGACACCAAGACACCTCGCTACCTACACATTGCCAGTAAGAAGACAAACCGTTGGGGCCATCAGCATTCTTACAGATTGCAGGTCTACAGCTTTGCAGGAGACCACCTACCTGAGAGCCAGGCTGAGGAAAGAGCCATGTCCTGGGCCAGGTAGGACCAGATAGCTTTATTTTTTTAGTTATTTAGCAGATGCTTTTACCCAAAGGCACCTAAAATTTTAGAGATACCAGTGTATTAACTTAACATGCACGTTTTGTTCTGTGGGAGAAAACCATAGAACCCAGAGAAAACACTTGCCTGGGGGGAACATGCCAACTCTACACACGCATGGAGGGAAAATGTTAACTCCACGCATGCATGAGGGGGACATACTAACTCCACAGATGCAAGGGGGTGGCCCATGAGCAATGGCCAGTCCAGCGGAGGCAGCAACTAGTTGATAATATTAATAGATTAGCACCTGACAGTTTAAGGCTTGATGGAAATAAACAACTCTGAAATAGTTTCTGTAGTAAACCAGTAACTTACCAAAAGTTCATCTTTATCATACTATTCAATTGGACTGAGCCTGTTTCTCAATATTTATTGAGGAACATCATCATTTTTGGTAGATTTACTAATCTGTAATAGTTAGATCTTATTTTCCTTTAAGATCACAATAAATACAAAAATCGGGTCTCAGGAGGTTACGTTTCAACTTGGTTTAGTGTGAAAATTAAAATAGGTTTAAAAAAGAGGTTAAAATTACTTTATCTTAATTTTAAACGAGATTTAAAGTTTGGTGCAACAGAATTTAAATATAAATTTAATTAGAGTTTAAAATTAAACCTTGCTGTAGCAATCCATCCTTAAAATCAATGTGTTTTAACTCAAAATCTTTTACTCTGCAGTGGGGGCTGTTGGTTGTGTGTGTGTGTGTGTGTGTGTGTGTGTGTGTGTGTGTGTGTGTGTGTGTGTGTGTGTGTGTGTGTGTGTGTGTGTGTGTGTGTGTGTGTGTGTGTGTGTGTGTGTGTGTGTGTGTGTGTGTGTGTGTGTGTGTGAAGTCTGTAAGCTCAGGAGGTGGAGCAGGTTTTCCACTAATCGGAGCGTTGTAGCATTGATCCCAAGTCCTGGCAGATAATGCTCCTGTTGTGTCTTTGGGCAAAACACTTAACCCACCTTGCATGCTGATAGTCACAGGTACCAGTTGCATGAACTAGGGCTGGGCGATATGACGATTTTAGACCGTTTTACCATCTACACATCTGACGGTCTGTCATTTTTGAGAGACCGTTTTATCACGATTCACAGCTGAATTTCTGCCTCTGAATGAAAAGGGAACTTACCTCAGGCGAATGACACGCCTTTGTTTGACCCTTAACCAATCAGAGTGAGTCATAGTATTAGTGCCCCGCTTGTTTTCACCTGTGTGTGAACAAACATGGCTTTGCCGCGGCTGAGCGACAACGAGGTTTTCGTTCCGAAGAGGAACGCAGGGTTTCCTTAGCGCGCGGCGCTAACAACTTAGCGACATGACATGTCTCGGAGAAAGCGTAAAAACACGTTGGACGCTTCTTCTGAAGCAGGAAAATAACACCGCTTCTTAAGCAGAGCACGACGCCGCCTCGGCTCGTTCACCCTCTGCCGAGCCGGTGTCGGTACCGACTGAGCTCGGTCACTGGGTCGATGGAGCTGCCCCGTGACTGCCTGATGGAAAACCAGCGGGTTTCATCAGACTCGTAAAGTTTCTTGTTTTTGTTGGGGACCTCTGTATTTTACCGCTCCCTCCTGCAGTCTTCCCCTATTAACATTTAAAATGATTCAGTAAACTCCATGTATCAATAGAAACAATCTCTGCCAGCTGCAGTAAATGTAGTCTCCAAATAATAAGAGGTGCATTCATCTGTGTATCTCCTTTGATCCGCATTAGTGATATTTTCAGCACCAGAACAGTGAAGCAAAGAAAGATTCCTGAGTTTGTGGGTGCATCTAACCTGTTCTATTTCGTCTAGTCTTAGCCCTTAAGCTAGCTGCTATTGGAAGGATGATCTCCGCATCAGCCAATCATGAAGAGCTTAAATGTACGCCCACCAATAGTGGGCCCCCTCGTGGTATATAACCGCAGTGACCCCACTGCTCACCCCTTTTTCTCTTCATGCCAAGCTTGAGAGCTTTATTAAAGAGCAAATATTATCTCAAAAGAGCAAATTATCCGAAGACGACTTACCAGCCATGTCCAGCGACACCAGACCCTGCCCGACCTGCCAGACGGGCTCCCATTTCCAGCGGCGACCTGCACGCTAAGTGTGAGGTCTGTCTCGGGGCTCACCACGCTGGCCTGGCCTTGACCCCGCAGGCCTCGTGCCCGTTCTGTGCCGCTCTGCCCGTGGCGGAGAAGATTCGCCGGGTCGAGTACTTCACTCCTGCCGCCGACGAAGAATTTCCGGTGGCTGACTCCTACCCGCTGGACAAGGCTTTGGTTTTCTTCGACGCCGGTCAGGAGCCGGCTGACTTCAACCGGCTGGATGACGTCACTGACAGCGAAAACTACGATGAGGCGGCGTCCCTCCTAGACATAACGGAGGTCGACGAGCTTCGCTCAGCGGGTCCTTCTGCCCCAGTGGCTTCTCGCTCCTCCCTGCCAGCAGTAAGAGCACTGCTCCAGGAGCTGCCCGCCATAATTTCTACGTCAGCAGCCCGCAAGGGGCTAGCTGTGCCAGAACCGGCCCTGCCTGAAGCGGATGATTTGGCGGGAATTTTCGGGGCAACTCAGACACGCTGTCCAGACCCTGTCTGGCCGCGCTTCCCCGCTGCTATGAGCTGCTGGTCTGCCGCCTTCTCCGAGCCTGCCAAGCTCAAGGCGCCAGTCTCCACATATGCGCCCATCACCAAGGTCGAGGGGTTTTCCGACCAAGGCTGGCCGTCCGTTCCTCCACTAGAGCCGGATTTGGCCTCGCTGTTCGGCGCCAAGAACCACCTCGCTGGCCCGCGAGCTGTTCCCGCTTCAGAACATGACCAGCTGCTGACGCTGCTCACCGACCGCGCACATCAGTCTGCCTTTCAGACCGGCGCTGCAGGGAATAACATCGCCCTTCTTGCCTTCGGCGTCTCCAAGATGATGGAGGAGCTGGAAGCTCCCGAGGAGTCGAAAGCCGTCATAACTAAGACTGCTGATGCCATCCTCAATCTGTGTGCTGCTGTGCTCACCGGTTCTGCTCGCATCGCTGCCTGGCAGACCCTCATCCAGCGAGCGATCTGGCTGAAGGCCCTGTCCTCCATTCCGGAACATCTGCAAAGGGAGATGCTGGATGGCCCCATCACCACCGATGTTCTGTTTGGTCCCCATCTTAGGGGCGTCATTGAGAGGGCTCAGAAGACGGCCGAACTATCGGCTACGGTGCGAGACCTGGTCCACCCTCGGTCAGCCTCGCACTCCGGCCGTTCAGCCAGAGGATGGGACGAACGGCGCGGAAGCTTCAGACGTCCAGCTGCACCGCCCGCTCCACGGAGCCGGCCTCCCGCTTCGGCTCCACATCAGCGGGACCAGCGAGATGGCGGACAACGGTTCCGGCGGGGCCAGCAGACGCCGTCTTGGCAGTCCCAGGTGCAGGAGCCTCGCCGAAAGCAGCCACGGAAGTGACTCTTTGGGGGGAATGTGTGTGTTACTGATTGTTCTGATGTTGTTGGTTTTGAAATAAAACCCAAAAAACATCACTCAAAGAGCTCAATCCTACAGTCCTCCGCAGAATCCTCTGCCGAGTTTTCACACATGTTCCCCACACCAAGCACTGCTGCACGCACACATGTTCCTGCAGGTAGTCATAATACACGGCCAGCCGTAAGGGTGCGCTCCATTTGCGCTCTGGCCCCAGCATCCGGCCAGGCCCAACTCGTCCCGCTCTCCCCACGCCGTTGGGTGGGGCGGGATGTCATGTCGCTGTCTCGACCACGCGCGGCGGCACAGTGCGCGGCTCCATCCGCTAGCACTCTGTCGCCCCCGTGCACAGGCCCGGCTCCCACTCGTCCTTCACTCTCGGACTCCACGCTCCGCGGTGTGGACCAGCCTGTTCCAGCTGTTTCGCACTTGCCCTTTCGAGCGCAGCCCTCCATGGGTCGCCCCCAGTTCTCTGGTACGGGCGACGGCGGTAAGGGCGCATGCACAACCCTCAGACGTTGTTCACGTGACCACGCACACGCGTCCACTGTCGGAACGCGCGCACGAGTGGCGCCGCCTTTGCATCATGAGCAAATGGATTTCGGACACCATTCATTGCGGTCACACACTTCATTTTCAGGCCACTCCACCTCCCTTCAACGGGATCGTGGAGACGACGTTCACATCGCAAGTACAGTCTCAGGCGCTAGAGCTGGAGCTGCGGGAACTTCTGTCCAAAGACGCTATTTCCCGAGTCCCTCGCGGACAAGAACTCTCGGGTTTCTACTCCCGCTACTTCGTAGTACCGAAGAAGTCGGGAGGAATGAGGCCGATTCTCGACCTGTCCCTGTTCAACTGCTCCATAGCAGTAATGCATTTCCGCATGTTAACGATGAGACAAGTCCTGGAATATGTGCGCCCCGGGGATTGGTTCATGTCAATCGACCTGAAAGACGCATACTTCCACATACCAGTAGTTCCAAACCACCGGAAGTTTCTGCGTTTTTCGTTCAAGGGAGTTAAATATCAGTTCAATCGCCTCCCTTTCGGCTACTCGCTAGCCCCCGCGCACTTTCTCCAAATGTCTGGAGACCGCGCTGCAGCCACTGCGCACGGAGGGAATGAGGGTCTTATTTTACCTGGACGATCTTCTGTGCGCTCGGTCCGAGGACGAGGCGTCACAGCAATCCAGGAGGTTGACAGAGCATCTGTCAACCCTAGGGTTTTCTATAAACTGGGAAAAGAGCTCCATCCTTCCATCCCAGTCGATTGTGTATCTCGGGGTGGAGTTGGACGCCTCCCTAATGAGAGCACGTTTGTCGCCTGCAAGAGCGGCAGATCTCTCCACGGTGATCTCCCGTGTTCAACCCCGCAAGATCGTGAGAGCCCGGTTAGTCATGAAACTCCTGGGCATGATGTCCGCAGCCCATTCAGTAGTGCCGCTAGGTTTGCTGCGCACGAGGCGCTTGCAACGCTGGTTCGTCCGCCTCCGGGTACACCCAATACGTCAGAAGAG